CATCACCCCCCCTCTCCTGCCTCCCACCCCCCATCAACCCTCAGTTTGTTCTCAGTTTTTAACAGTTTCTTATGCTTTGGCTCTCTCCCACTCTAACCTCCTCTTTTTTTTTTTTTTTCCTTCCCCTCCCCCATGGGTTCCTGTTAAGTTTCTCAGGATCCACATAAGAGTGAAACCATATGGTATCTGTCTTTCTCTGTATGGCTTATTTCACTTAGCATCACACTCTCCAGTTCCATCCACGTTGCTACAAAAGGCCATATTTCATTTTTTCTCATTGCCACATAGTATTCCATTGTGTATATAAACCACAATTTCTTTATCCATTCATCGACAGGAAACCATCAAAACCTTAGAGGAGAAAGCAGGAAAAGACCTCTCTGACCTCAGCCGTAGCAATCTCTTACTCGACACATACCTTTATCATTCTTTATCCCACTCTCAATATATAAACTTTGATTAAATTTGATTCCATCTTGTTTCAGAGTAAGCATAAACCAAAGGACTTATTTCCTTGGCCAATCAGAAGAATCTTTTTCCTTGACCACAGTGTAAGGTTCAAAAGTATGTACTTGCCCAAAGTCACTGAGATGCAAGGAGACCTTAAAACCTTTTCTCCACCCATCCTCATGGGATTAGAACTTGGAATCAAGTAGCAGCCAAATTGGTATTATACAGACAGAGTATGAAGCAATGTGAATGGTAAAGCCAAGAGCTAGCACAGAACTGTTATTGAATGCAGCCAAACCAGGAGCTATATCTTCCATGGGATTTTCAGATATGTCTGGCTACATGACCCTTTTATCTTTAGGGACTTGCAGTTGGATTTTCTGTCTTTTGTAGTAGGGAATTTGCTTGTTTGTATTATCTGCTATACAACATTGTGCCTATAGTAAACAGTATTGTATTGTGCACTTAAAATTTGTTGAATGTAAATCTCATGTTAAGAGCTCTTACCACGCAACAATAAAAAAAAAAAAAACAATAGACAACTGAGGGGGTGGTGACAGTTTGCCTTTTGCTTCATGTGAACTCTGAGCAGCAGGGATAAGGTCTTTAATGAATAAGCCATTTGGTGAAACAGGTAAGGGGGAAGCACTTGGCAGAATGTCCACAGCTATTAGAAAGTATATTTGTTTACATCTTCATTACATATTGTTTATACAACAAAAGAAAAATAAAACATAAAATAAAAAGCTCAGATCATTTTTGTAGTTTGTACATTTTTCTCTTTTGTGTCCTTGTCCGTTTATCCTCATAATATATTCATCCTTTTATTATTGATTTGTAAGATATCTTTTTAAATTAATTATTTTTTCACCTTTATTGAGGTATAACTGACATATAACACTGCGTAAGTTCGAGGTATACAACATGTTGATTAGATACACTTATATATTACAAAACAATTACCACCATTACCATTTTTTTTGTAGACAACTTAAGATTTACTTGTAGCAACTCTCAAGCATATGATACAGTACTGTTAACTATAATCACTACATTATACATTATAACCCCAGAACTTATTCATCTTATAACTGGAAATTTGTATTTTTTTACCAATATCTTACCTTTTTATCTGCCCCTTAGGCCCAGGTAACCACCATTCAAGTGTCTATTTCTATGAGTTGGGCTTTTTTAGATTCCACACACAAGTGAAACAGTATTTATGCTTCCCTGATTTATATCACTTAATATAATGTCCTCAAGGTCTGTGCATATTGTCACAAACTGCAGCATGTCCTTCTTTCTTCTTTCCTCTATGATGAATAACATTCATACGCATATGCACACATACATATGGTGATCCATTCATCCATTTGATGGACACGTCAGTTGCTACATTTAATCTTCCACTCTATGAAGATTTCTTTGAATACTTGCAGAATTCTATCTTTTTTAAAAAAGTTTATTTATGTATTTATTTTGAGAGAGAGAGAGAGAGAGAGAGAGAGAGAGAGAGAGAGTATCCTAAGCAGGTTCCATGCTGTCAGTGCAGAGCCCGATGAGGGGTTCAATCTCACAAACCATGAGATTAAGACCTGAGCCGAAATCAAGAGGCATACACTTAACAGACTGAGCCACCCAGGTGCCCCACAGAATTCTATCTTTTAAATTTTTTTTTATGTTTATTTTTGAGACAGAGACAGAGCATAACTGGGGGAGGGCAGAGATACAGGGAGACACAGAATCTGAAGCAGGCTCCAGGCTCTGAGTTGTCAGCACAGAGCCTGATGTGGGGCTTGGTCTCATGGACTGTGAGATCATGAACTGAGTCAAAGTTGGACACTTAACCGACTAAGCCACCCAGGCACCCCCAGAATTCTCTCTTTATCACCAAATTTTAAAAAATAAAATATATAAGAGCGAGTCTAAAGATTGATCTCTTTTAGATTCTGGTTCTTAGTTTACTCTATCAATTTGCGATCTGTATCTTCTTCTGAAGACAGTTTTCTTGTATCACATCTACACTTAGTTCTTCTGTTGTGTCTCCTCTTCAACAACACCAGATAGCTACATTTTGCATTTCAATTATTTTTTCCCAACAATTGTTCCTCAATCTTTTATATTATGTATATCACCTTATTCTGTAAATTATTATAAAATGAGTTTTTTACATTAGTGATCAATTCTATTTTTTATTTTTAATGTTGATACTAAACTTGATACTGTCTTTAGTTTAACTGTGAGCTCACTCTGCATCATAGTCAGCTGTTTCATAATCACAAACAAGTGCTCTTCTCTTGTTCTTTAATGAATTACTGTTTTCTTAAATATTATTAAGAACACCAAGCAATGATTTGTATAATTTCCATCTATTTCCTATAATAAATCTTTTAAAGGGTCAACCTTATTTCTAAATCTTGATTGTTAGATCTTTTTTTCTATGTTGCTTATGCTGAAATAGGCAGCATTTTGTTGTTGTCATTGTCACTGTTGTTGTTATCGTTTTTTGTGTTTTTCCTCTTCACTTTTGCTTAAATGATAAAAGCAGTATACAGTCCTATCATTTGCCCATATAAACAAAGAGTGGATTATTCTTAGTTCCTGTTATTGTCCTTGTGTATGTAATTAAATTTCTCTTTCTCATCTTGAGCTTCTGTGCTATTTTATGTATAAAGGTTCTAGCTAATACCTGGTGTCTGGCCAAAGCTTACATTATATGCTTCTAGACTGAAGAGAAAATTTTTTTTCTTTTTCCAGTTGTGATATATAGGGAAAAGACTTTATTCAAGGACAATATGAATTCTTTACACTTAAGTACCAGACAGAAGGTATAAAACTACAACCTCTAAACTTCTCTGTTCATACCTTCCTTAAGCTCAGAGGAGTATTAATGGGGGAAATTAGGAGGCTATGATGGTGCAACAAGTTTGGTCCCTTTAAAACCTAACTTTTGGAAACACAAGTATAGTCTGAATTCTTATGTTTACCAGAATATTTCCATGTTTAAGATAATAAATACAGAGATCAGTTGAAGATTACAAATCTTGAGACTAGTCCTTTAAACATTACCCCCTAATGTGTGTGTGTGTGTGTGTGTGTGTGTGTGTGTGTGTGTGTATGTGTGTGTGTGTGTGTGTGTGTCTGTCTGTCTGTCTCTCACTCTCTCTCTCTCTGTCTTTGGTATACTCTGGCAGGGAATAATATTGCTAATATTTCTAGCTGAAAATTTCAAATATTTTGGTATTTTTGGTAGGTATTTCAATCAAAGGCAAAGAAAAGTAGAATAACCCTGAGATTTTTTCCACTATAATGACATCTTAATTATTGACTTTTGAGTGACTAAATATTCTCATACCAAAAGTTACAAAATAATTTACACTTCAAACAATCCAGTTTTCTTCTGTTAATATAGACCTCATCTAAATTCATGTTCTTGTCATTTATTATTTTTATTCTCCAAAACTTCTTATTTACTCTGTTCAACATTCATATAAAGGTAACTAGAGAATCAAATATACAAATACAGAAAAATAAAGAGAAATAAAAAGAAAGATCTACAGTCAACTAAAGAAGAGTGATTTCTAGCAATTCACAAACCCATTGCTATTGACTCTCAGTTGGCACTCACAGTTGGAACAACTCAATCTCACATATCCAAATTGACAGATGGTCAACTCATTAAAGGGGTCTTAGTGATTCTTAATGTTTTCACAGAGGTGTTTCTGTGGGAATATGAATTCTGTCATGGTGAACATGTACATCAATATCATGGGCACAAGGATAGTAGGAAAACCTCTTCAGTTGTGAGAACATGGAACTAAGAAAAGCATATTAAATGGGCAAAGAAAAATACTGCTACAGTCTATCATCTTCAAATATCCCCATCAAGTCAGGATAGTATCACATTTTTGTGTAATGGAGATATTTGTGATGTAACAGAGAAACCAAGGCATAGGAGTCAGACTTTCCTCTGCTGTTATTGTATATATGCTAGAGCTTCACTGATGTCAATATATTCCTAGGGTTGAATCTCTATGATGCCTAGACTCTGATATATAATAGATAAAAATGGATTTTTTTCTCTTCCCAAATAAAAATAAAGAGAAAAATCATTGAAAGTCCTGATGACTTCTATCTTCTATGATGATATGCTTCGTGATAGAGTTTTCAGCCATTGAACCCCATCTAAAGAATTGTGCAAAAGGAATCTCAACCAATCTATAAATATATATGTATATGTAAGAAATTATTGATCAACTTCTAAGGCAGATATTTGTCTCACATTTTTCATTTTTATCGTTTCTAATGAAATGATTGTGTTTTTTACTTTGCCTAGGTAATGTGACTCCAAACTAAACTTCACTCAAACTAATTTTCATTTAAAAAGTGCATTTTGCACCTTTTAGATATTCTAATATTTGTGTAAAATATAATCTGAAATACACAATAAACATATATCTGAACACATGAATTCTTAAGCCATTTCTTAGCATACTGATATTTTCAAGTTTAAAAGATAATATACTGAAATCAAAATTTAGTTTTCTTACCTTTCTGGATAGGTAAGTGATTGTACCATGACTCGGTGGATGTTGTAATTACATTGGAAACATTGCCAATTTGAGCTCTGAAAATATCCCAAACCAATGCCTGAAATATTTACAACATCATTTGAAAACTGAGCAAGAATCTTGACTTCTTGAAGTTGATAAAATGATCTGTTCTTCCTAAACAGAAAATTTAATATGCTTACCATATTAGTAATTTAAAATTTAATTTAACTCTAAAGTCAATATAATCTTAATGTAGTATAGAAACAACAATCTTAAAGGAAAAAAAGCCAAAACATATTTGTGAAGTATTTATTAAAATAAATGAAAACAAAATAAAATAATAATATAGGTATCCTCATACAAAATTATTTGGGGACACTTTTTGAGAAAAAAGTGGGGCATCTTGTCTTTCTGACTTTGTGTCTAGATTGTACATTTGTCTAAGATTACAGGAGTCATTTTATGCTTCCTGTTTTAGACACCGTAACAACTATTACAGTTCCCTGAATGGACAGGATACTCAAATAATAATTCTTAATTGATCTGTGCCATTTTGTCAAATATTTGTGAATTATTACAAAAGCTTCAGATTCAAAAGGAAAAAAATTAATGTAGAATTTAATAAGTACAATGTCCTGAGCATTTACAGAGTACCCAGAACTATAATGAAGCTTGACATGCTTGACCTTATCTAACTATCTTGACAACTCCATTTACTAGGTACTATTAGTATTGCCGATTACAGATGAGAAAACTGAATATCAGAGCATACAAATGACTTTCCAAAGCTAGTGAATGCAAAACAAACACAGCCACGTCAATGCTCTTCTTCATCACTCTACTCAAATTCCTCACCCCTATGTGCCAGAAACATAGGGGGGCCTGGAGTCAGATCAATATGGATCTGCTTGACTACAAAGGAAACTCCAAAGAAGGTGAAGAAGGAGGAGGAGGAGCAGGATAAGTAAGAGAAGGAGGAAAGAAAGGGAGGGAGAGTAGGAGGAAGGTGGAGGAGGGGGAAGAGGAAAGGAGGAAGGAAGGAAAGAGAAAAGAGGAGAGAGCAAAAAAAAAAAATCAAAAAATCTGTCGTGGTAATTTCCTCCTTCAAGGTCACAATGATTTGCTTGAGCAAAGGCAACAATCATACGTAAAACAACTGAGAAGCAACAGTGGTGTCTCCAGCTCTTGTGCCATCTTATATTTATCCCTGCTCTTTCCTGCTTTTGATTCTTCGAAACAGCTGGGCTCCAAAAAGGTTGTCATTACTCTCCTCAAAGCCCATATCTATTACCCCCAGGAACTGATATTACCTCCTCTTTCATGGAATATAATATCATTGTTCATATCTCTAATTTCTAAGACGTTATCTAGATTTCTCAGAGATACTTCAGAGTCAGTATGTCCAGATGGGAACGTGCTATCTCTCCCTACAATTTCACATCCACTTCAATGATTTCAAATACCAACTATTTGCTCGTGACCACCAAACCTCTGCCTCTATCTGAGCTCTGTTTGCTGAGATCTATTGCTTTTCACCATGTGTACCTGCATACCTTAAGGATGTCTAAAACTCAGTAGGGTTCAAATCTAAATGACATCTTTCCCAACGCCCATCTCTCACAAAAAAATAAATAAAATAAATAAAAATAAAACCTACAACTAACAAATTTTCTTATTATTTTAAATGGCATCACTACCTATTACCCAAGCTAGACAACTAGGATTCACTCTTGATATCACCCCCTCTTTCAATCCCTACATCCAATCTATCATAAATTCCTACTGATTATTCCTACTAAATATCCTGAATCTGCTTTGAATTCATACATTTCCACAGCAAGCACTCAGACACCACTGTTCCTTTCCTATATTCTTGCAACAGCATCCTGTCTTTTTCCTTGTCAACACATTGTGGTCAAATTGTTTTTCCAAAATGAAAATCCAACCCGGCTTCAACCAAACTGCTCCAACTAAAACCCTTTAGTGATTTTCATTTGCTCAGTGAGTAAAATATAAATCCCAAAATATGCCCTACAAGTTCTAGTTCTTACAAAATCCAGGGGCTCTCTACTTCTCTCATATCTCTCTTGCTGATCCTGCCTCCATTCTAAGACATTAGAAAATTCCTTCAGATCCTGAAATGGGCTATGTTCCCTCCTGCTTCAGGATCTGTGCATTTGTTGATACTTTGTCCTGTAATATGGCAAAGAAAATCAATCTTGTCCCTCATTTAGGTCTCAACTAAAATGTCCTCAGAGAAACTTTTAGTGACCTCACTAATTCATGTCCCTTATTTCATGTTTCCATGCACACTATAATTTGCCTCAAGACATTTTTCAGATTTTATTTATGTAGTTTTATTTAATTTTTATAACTGTTATATATTTCATTAGGGCTTCAAGCTTAAAGAGGGTAGGACCATGTCTATCTTTCTCATCACAGTATCTTCAGCACTTAGCACAATTCCTAGCTCAATGTAGATTCCTCTGTTTGAATAGAGGAATGATGAACATCATCATTTTATTTGTATTATGTATGTGTAAAGTCTATCTGCTGCACTAGACAGAAGTTATGTAAAGACAGCAATCTAATTTGTCCAGAATTGTATCCCTAATTTCTAGTACAGTCATTGGCCTATAGAAGCTTTCAAGAAATTATACTGAATGATTAAACTGGCTCCTCTCCATGACTTCCTAGCTCAATAAATGGCATCATAATTTAACTAGTTACCTTTAAACTGGTTTCTTTACTTAACTTTCACATATTTAATTAATCATAAAAAATATCTATCCTAAATCCTAAAAAAAAAAAAAATGAAGAAATACCTCCACGTATTGAGTCTAGACCTCTATCATGTCTCACATAAATTACTATAATAGGCACCTCCACCTCTTTGGACACATGCCACTCTAATCTCTCCATTACTCATCCTCTGGGGGAATCCTTCCAACCAGAATGTCCAAAATTGATACCTCTTGTTTAAAATCCTATATTTATATATCATCATATTTAGCATATTATAACGTGTGAGTAATATTTAGTGACGTCAAAAAATGATTGCACTGTAGCATTCAGTATAAAAATCAGGATACAGAACACATTTGTGGTAAGATCCTAATTTTGCTAAATGAAGAAAATAATGTGTGTGCACAAGGGTATATACCAGAATGAAGAGAGGAAAAAGAGGAGGTAAAGGAAGAGGAGACATAGTTGTAGACCACATAGTAAATGTGAACATCCCTGGATGATATAATTATATATGATTCTCATGTTCTACTGTATAATATGACACATTTTCTACAGTAAGCAAATCTTCCTATTTTAATTTTGAAGAGGGAAACAAAAGGTCATTTAAAAATCTCTGACTTCCCTGGTTTCTGAAACAGTTTAAATCTCAAAGCATGACTAAAGTTATTAGCAAAGAATTATTAATAGAAAAACAATAAAGCCCTTGGCCAGTAATAGATGGACAGATTTATCATGAATATATCATCCTTCATGAAAAATGCACTAATTCAAGGACGTGAATAAAATATATCAATATTTCAGGGTGTTCTGCATACACAATGATGTTTATAAGGGAAATGAAGAATCACAATTTCTTTGCCTTTTGAACAAGTTGGAAACAACTTCTCTAGGACTGTAGTCTGTGAGCTGTTACTGAACTCAGATACTCTCCTATCTCCATGCCTTTGAAAACACTGTCTCCATTCCTTGATTGGAATATCTCTCCTTTAAATGTTTCCTTGCATCCTCTTCATACACCCACAGCACATAAGTATTCTGCTACTATAGATCTTATTACTTAAAGCTGTAATTACTCATCAGTCTCCTTCAGTGTTCTGTGACTTCCTTAAGAACCATAACAGTGCTATTTTAGTTTGAGTATCCATTATTTAGCGAAACGCCTGAATAAATTTTAGTGTTGTTGAATAACACTGTTGAATAAGTGGATTCAAAAGCTAAGAAAGCATATATTTCATAAAAATAAATAAAGGATCATATGCATATGTGTGTGCACAGATAGGCACATACATACACTATTTTAAGCAACATAAAGCAATAAACTATTACAAAATAACTATTATAACCCAGTCAATCGTGCTGAGAATTAGGTGGAAAGAATTTGAAGTTTCTCTTATTAAAATATGGGCCTTGATGTAAATGAAGAATTTAGATTGAAATCCTGGTTTGATTTATTTAATATCTTTGGGTGACTGAAAGAAGTTGAGAAAAGGGAAAAAACAAAAATAATTGATGCTCACTCAGGACAAGTTTTATCCAACTACTAAATTATCTGCAAAGCCTTTTAAAATTTTATGAAAACTAATTTGGCAAGGCTCTAATATTAAAAATACATTTATCTCAAAGTTAAAAAAATTTTCTCTGACTAATGACTCAGAATGTTATTTCCATGAGTGGCCTTAGTATCCCATGATACTATAAATAGTTTCTATGTTATGTCAGTACACAGGTTCTCAATATTTGATCATAATATACTTCTTTTACTATTATTTTCTTTGTGGATTTTAAGGTGTTAAAGATTTATCTAGAAAACAAACTTCGTTTATTATGAGCTATGGCTACTTTGTATATTTTTGTTATTTTAGACTTTAAACAAAGGTTCATAATAATACTGTAAAATTACATACATCACTGCCGTTATTTGTGACACTAATGTGCAAATATATAAGCATGCAGAGACTTTTTCCTGGTTCACTTTAATGGTTGCATGAATTTGGATGTCATGATGTACTCAAGTCTGAATCCCATCACACACTAGATTTAGTCAATTCAGGTATTGTAACTACCTAGACTGTGACAACAGTAAACGTTGGATATACCAACTATGCTTCCTGAAATTCGAATGATGTCATCAGTAATCAGTCTAAACTTAAACCAAACTGTTGTAAGCCCAGGTGTAATAAAATAAAGTGTTTCTTTTATCTCATCACTAGATATGTTACCTGTGAGCCTTTCAAAAAGTTACATTATTTAATAGATTTCTAGAAGTCTAGCACAGCAGGTTGGAAACTACTATTTAAAAATGTTTTTAATGTTTATTTATTTTCCATAGAGAGAGATGGGGGCCCGGGGGTGGGGCAGAGAGAGAGGGAGACAGAATCTGAAGCAGGCTCCAGGCTCTGAACTGTCAGCACAGAGCCTGATGCAGAGCTCGAACTCAAAAACCGAGAGATCATGACCTGAATTGAAGTCGGACGCTTATCCAACTGAGCCACCCAGGCACCCTGAGGAAACCACAATTTTAATAGTAGCATGTATCTTCATACCATTCTTTTATTTAACAGAAAATGAATTTCCTTGTTTGAGAACTTATGAAATAGACAGGTATACCTTCAACAAATTCAAGCTGAGAATATTCTTTGAGATGATTAGATAACTTTTAAAATACGTATATATAACATACATATATACACAAAAAGCTAAATAGAAGATTAAGCAAAAAAAAACCCTCTTCTATTTTGTAGGATTTGTAGCTGCAAGTGTTTCTCTGAAATACTGAAATTGGGTCGCTCTACTGACAGAAGTTACTTGACATTTGGTCATATCACTGTGAATACAATGTTGCCTGAAAACTAGAGAGAAATAGAAGGCAAGGTAGTTTGAGAAGAAGAACACGGGAATGACAATCAAAAGAGAAAAAAAAAAGTTTTCCTAATGTTTGTAGTCCCTAGGTGTGTATGACATAAAGAAGTTAAGTAGTAGACTTCACATTCCACATCTTTCTGCAGACAATGAATGAATTAGAATATAACACCTGAGATATTTTAATATTTAATATTTTAAGACTCTCTGGAGAAAAAAATTTACACTATTTGTATTATATTCCAAAGTGGATGCTCAAGAAAACAAACATTTAATTTACGAAAGAAAAAAATTACTAAATTATACTTACTCATAGACCCTTGACTCTTCAACCATTCCAAGCTGGTTTAATAACTTAAATGTAATACAGCCATTTTTCATATTGTTATCCAGAACAGTTATACTGAGAACAAAATAATAGCCTACAAAAAATATAGAATGCAATTGACATTATTATTATTTTCTACTTATTTTTGGTACCTATACAGATATAGATGTGTGTTTGTAAATATGTGTGTATAATATATTATTATATGTGATATACATGTAATACATGTAATTACATACATGTAATCTAGACACATATTATATATGCACATATATCAAGAGGCATTTTGTACATGGGTAATATATTTTCATTTTGTCAATTTTTAACTAGACTTGAAAATGAGAAATGGAAAAACCTGCCAGAAAGTCATTGGTATGGTAAATAGCTGGCCAAATAGAGAATACTAACTGGTGTGCAAACCATAAAAAATCATAGTTTAGGTCAATGAAACAATTTTTATTTTTCAGTAGCACACCTAAAATAAATATGATAAGTTTCCATATTTATCTGAGGAATTGTCTTGGCTAAAATTGCTTGACAAATATAATTCCCAATTTCATTGTTTTTTAGGAATGACTGTAAAATTAAGTATTTTTATATATACCCAGCTCGTAGTAGCTCTTATTCAAAATACCCAGTCAAAATATCTGTACACTGAAAACTACATAACACTTATGGGAAAAAAACTGAAGAAGACACAAAGAAATGGAAAAATAGTCCATGCTTTTGATTTGGAAAAACAAATGTTGTTAAAATGTCAGTACTACCCAATGCAGTCTACATATTCACTGCAACCCCTTTTCAAAGGAACATGAGCATTCTTCACAGAGCTAGAACAAACAATTCTAAAATTTGTATGGAACCATAAGGTCCCAGTAATTCACTTTTGCTTTTAATTCCCTTGCCTTTGGGGATGTGTCGAGTAAGAGATTGCTACGGCTGAGGTCAGAGAGGTCTTTTCCTGCTTTCTCCTCTAGGGTTTTGATGGTTTCCTGTCTCACATTCAGGTCCTTTATCCATTTTGAGTTTATTTTTGTGAATGGTGTGAGAAAGTGGTCTAGTTTCAACCTTCTGCATGTTGCTGTCCAGTTCTCCCAGCACCATTTGTTAAAAAGACTGTCTTTTTTCCATTGGATGTTCTTTCCTGCTTTGTCAAAGATGAGTTGGCCATACGTTTGTGGGTCTAGTTCTGGGGTTTCTATTCTATTCCATTGGTCTATGTGTCTGTTTTTGTGCCAATACCATGCTGTCTTGATGATGACAGCTTTGTAGTAGAGGCTAAAGTCTGGGATTGTGATGCCTCCTGCTTTGGTCTTCTTCTTCAAAATTCCTTTGGCTATTCGGGGCCTTTTGTGGTTCCATATGAATTTTAGGAGTGCTTGTTCTAGTTTCGAGAAGAATGCTGGAGAAATGGGAACCCTCTTGCACTGTTGGTGGGAATGCAAATTGGTGCAGCCACTCTGGAAAGCAGTGTGGAGGTTCCTCAGAAAATTAAAAATAGACCTGCCCTATGACCCAGCAATAGCACTGCTAGGAATTTATCCAAGGGACACAGGAGTACTGATGCATAGGGGCACTTGTACCCCAATGTTCATAGCAGCACTCTCAACAATAGCCAAATTATGGAAAGAGCCTAAATGTCCATCAACTGATGAATGGATAAAGAAATTGTGGTTTATATACATTATGGAATACTACGTGGCAATGAGAAAAAATGAAATATGGCCTTTTGTAGCAACGTGGATGGAACTGGAGAGTGTGATGCTGAGTGAAATAAGTCATACAGAGAAAGACAGATACCATATGGTTTCACTCTTATGTGGATCCTGAGAAACTGAACAGGAACCCATGGGGGAGGGGAAGAAAAAAAAAAAAAAGAGGTTAGAGTGGGAGAGAGCCAAAGCATAAGAGACTGTTGAGAACTGAGAGCAAACTGAGGGTTGATGGGGGGTGGGAGGGAGGAGAGGGTGGGTGATGGGTATTGAGGAGGGCACCATTTGGGATGAGCACTGGGTGTTGTATGGAAACCAATTTGACAATAAATTTCATATATAAATAAAAAAAAATAAAAATTTAAAAAAAAAATTTGTATGGAACCAGAAAATACTTCAAATAGCCAATGTAATGTTGAAAAAGAAAATCAAAGCTGAAGGCATCACAATTCCATACTTTAAGCTGTATTACAAAGTTGTAATCATCAAGACAATATGGTACTGACACAAAAATAGATATAGATCAACGGAACAGAATAAATAATACAGAAATGGACCCAAAAATGTATGACCAACTAATCTTTGACAAAGCAGGAAAGAATATCCAATGAAAAAAGACAGTCTCTTAAGCAAATGGTGTTGGGAAAACTAGACAGCGACATGCAAAAGAATGAACCTGGACCACTTTCTTACACCATACACGAAAATAAACTCAAAATGGAAGAAAGACCTAATTGTAAGACAGGAAACCATCAAAATCCTAGAGAAGAAAACAGTCAACAACCTCTTTGACATTGGCCACAGTAACTTCTTACTAAACATATCCCTGGAGGTAAGGGACACAAAAGCAAAAATGAATTATTGGGACTTTATTGAGATGAAAAGGTTCTGCATAGTGAAGGAAACAATAAGCAAAACTAAAAGGCAACCGATAGAATAAGATGAGATATTTGCAAATGATATATCGGATAAAATGTTAGTATCCAAAATCTATAAAGAACATGTCAAACTCAACACCCAAAAAACAAATAATCCTGTGAAGAAATGGGAAAAAGACATAAACAGACACTTTTCCAAAGAAGATATCCAGATGGCTAACAGAGACCTAAAAAGATGCTTAACATCACTCATCACCAGGGAACTACAAATCAAAACCACAATGAGATACCACCTCACACTTGTCAAAATGGCTAAAATGAATAACTCAGGAAACAACAGATGTTGGCAAGGATGCAGAGAAAGGAGAACCCTTTTGCACTGTTGGTGGGAATGCAAACTGGTGGAGCCACTCTGGAAAACAGTATGGAGGTTCCTCCAAAATTTGAAAGTAGAACTACCTTATGGCCCAGCAATTGCAATATTAAGTATTTATCCAAAGGACACAAAATGCTGATTCGAAGAGGCACATGCACCCCAATGTTTAAAGCAGCACTATTGCCAATAGCCAAATTGTGAAAAGAGCCCAAATGTCCACTGACACACACACACACACACACACACACACACACACACACACAGGAATATTACTCGGTGATCAAAAAGAATAAAATCTTGCCATTTGCAACAATGTCAATGGAACTAGAGTGTATTATGTATGCTTAAGTGAAATAAGTCAGTCAGAGAAAGATAAGTATCATATGATTTCACTCATGTGTGGAATTTATGAAACAAAACAGATGAACATAGGGAAAGGGAAGGAAAAATAAGATAAAAATAGAAAGGGGGTCAAACATAACAGACTCTAAAATACAGATAACTGAGGGTTGCTGAAGGGGTATGGGGTGAGAGGATGAGCTAACTGGGTGATAGGCATTAAGGAGGGCAGTTATCAGGATGAGCACTGGGGGTTAAATGTAAATGATGAATCACTAAATTCTACTTCTGAAACCATTACTACATAAAATGTTAAATAACTTGGATTTAAATTTAAAAAAATAAAAGAGGAAGAAAAAAATTCCCAGCTAAAAATTGATACATATTTCAGAGGCAAGGATACTGAACTCACCCCCATACTCAGTGTTGTCTGAACTATAGAGAAAGTTCTGGCTCCCTGTGAGATTTTTTTTAGCACAGAAGAATTTATTAAGGAATATGTAGCTCAAACAAGCATTCAGGGCCAGAGAACAAGGCTCAGCCAGAAACACTGCCCCAAAATCACAGGACAGACTGCTTTAAGATCCCATTGCTACCACTTCCAAACATGAGCTAGAAGATTAGCTAAGAAAGCAAGTTTAAGACACTTTCATTTCTATGATGAGAAAATATTAACACATCTGGACAGGAAATACCCAGAGGGTATTTAATTTAAATTCACATCAAAGAGATATTTTTAAGTATGCACTACATCTACCCCTTTTACCAACTTACATCAATATCCACTCTTCCTCCTGTATTTCAAGCACGATGCTATTATTGCTTAGATGCCCATTCCATAGTACCAATAACAGCCAAGTGGGCTACATTTGGCTGCAATCCAGTGTAAGGCAATACCCACTCTTTTAGTTCTATCCCAATCCTGTTGTGATATTGTAACTTATGGACTAGAATGTACAGTCCATCTCCATCATACTTTATATAAGGGAGGTAGATACTAGTCCCTGTACTGTGAACTATTTCTTAGAAGAAAACATATAAAAACGGAACATGGAATGTATGAAATTATCTTGTGAGAAATACATGTAGTAACACCATGCAGGCTAGGTGTTAAATGTTGCTACCGAACAGACAAGAGTAACTTCTTGTTTTATGCCTGATGCTTACTTAGTACCACCTTAAATGAGATAATTTATTTACCACCGGACCTCAAGAAATTCTAACACAAGAGACTGAAGAACCACTTCTTACTGTGAAGTGACTCCCCAGCTTTAGACAAAAGACTTTCACCTCACCCGGAAAAGTAGGTGTTCAGACTCTCTCAGATGATTTCTGGTAGTGTGACATATTAAGATGTCACAGAAAAAGCCCATCTCATGTTACAAGTACATGGAAATGATGACTGTACAATCCATAAATTAAATACAAAACCAAGCTCAGATGAAGGCAGGGAAAATATCATAAGGCAGAAAGGAAGAGAAAATAAAGGCAAAACATAAGGAGGACTGAAGCCCTGGATCCCTACAGGACCTGGGAACTAGATTTAGCATGGAGACAGAGGATGCATGTCAGCTTCCATGCACAGGAGGCATGATGCTAAGTAAAAGAGCTCAGTAAGATAGAAGTTAAACCCAAAAGGAAGAAGTAGGGGAGGGAGAAGAAGGCCAGATAAAATGTAGAAAAACAACTGGTAAATAGAGTATTTGATGTAATAGCATCCATAATAAATACTAATGGTTAAACAACAAGTGAAATAAAATACTATAGAACATAATATTCAAGATGGAAA